ACATCATCCTCATCCTTGTGTAGACATGCATATACCTCTTTGGCAAGAGGTCTTCCTGACTGCTTGTTCACCACCCAGCTGGCTGCTCAGCTCCTGTCATCTCTAAACCGCTATTGCAGAACATTGGAAACACTGCTTATAGACATGGTGTCTGTGCCTGGGCTCTTGTACATCTGTGAACAGCTTTGCTGGAACAGGGCACACAGAGGGAATGCATAGTGAATCATCTCCATATAGTGAAACTTGCTGTACTGGGATAATCTCTATACTACAACGCTTTTCAAAACCACTTTGGTTTATAGCAGGCATTATAGAGAAGTTGAAGGCTGTCATGTCCTTGAACACTTTCCCTGTTTCTACTTAATATCAATGCCAGAGGGAAGCCACCTGCTTTTATGAGTGAGGGGCCCTTGTTTGGAACACATGGTTAAATTTAGCAGTAGCGATAGCTTTAGCGTAAAATCTAAAGGGCAATGCTTGAATGCTCCTTAAACTGGATACTACTTAGTTGCTTAGTCTGCATGATATCTAGCTCATGTTTTCCATGTGTCACACCCTGCTAAGCTTGTTTTGTTAAGGTAAGCTGTAAGAAAAATAGACTCAGTACATGTTCTTCTGCCTGCAGGATGATTGTTCCAGAGGAGCATCTCTTTTCAGCTGTTTGCCATGAGGACTGTTGGCTTCATAGCAATAGCTAGCACAGATTGTTTTGCAATCAGCACTGGATAGTTAGGTTTTCAGCTGGATTGAGTATAAAAATGTCTCTGGAATCATTTTCCACATAGTATGGCTTAAATAAAATTTAGCTTATCTGATCTGCACTTTCAGAGGGTGAGGACTCTTGCATAATTCCTGGCTAGTTTTTTTGCCTTACCAGTGTGGTAGTATGCACCTTCATGACTGACGTGTTCTTTCTATGCCCTCATCTTTGTATGGCTTTAGTAAAAGCAAGCTGAAAGTCCGCACAAACCCTGGATAAAAAGATGTCTTGTCCTTCAGTCCTGTACAGTCTTGCACTATTATGCTCAGTACTTGGTCTTGGAAGTTCTTGTAGACTTTATCTCAAAAATGTAGATAGAAGTCACTCATAGGAAGACTTTCAAAAACAGATTTGTCCATTGCCAAAATTGTAGGGTCAGCAGAAATAGTCTGACAGACAGATCATGTGCCCAATTCTGCTATAGATTATAAGGATGCTTTGCAAAGTCAAACTTGTCTGTCAGCTGAGGACAGCTTTTACTGGAATGCAGTGATACAGAGGCATCCTTTGTTACTGTCAAGGTTTTATAAGGCTTTGTAGTAGGTTAGATTGGCAACTTGTCTTGGTAAATTAAAGTCTAATATCTTTAACAGCTGCCTGCTTTTGCATCAGTCTGGTAAATGAGTTTTAATCTGTCTCAGTTTTTCACTGATTATGTAAGATCTGTACAATCTGGGCAACCTCTTTCCCCTTCCCTATTGAAGTCTTGTGATGTTCAGTCTCCTGGGGCCTGGATACTTAAGGGATTTTAGGATTCTATCTCACCATAAGCCTATTGCTTAAAGGCTGATGGGCGGTAGTAAAAGAAAAGATAGGTGAGATAAGCTGCTGCTCTAACACTTGCATGTATTTCAGAGCTTTAACTGCTTTATTTTTAAGAGCAAACTGCAGAAATATACTTAACATGCTTAAGTAGACTAAGTGGGAGTAACAAATCTCTGCATCAGAGTACTGTCCTAAGCATATTATTCATGCTGGAACTTGACCTTTGAATATTTATCTAGAAGAGTGTAGTTACATGCAGAGTGACTAACACTAGCACATCTTTGCTGCAGGCAGTGCGATGCTTAAACAACTGACTGGAGTTAATGTAAAAGATAAGCTAAGCATTTTACTTGCTTGGTCCATAGGGTGCTCAGAAACACTAGCTTGTGCACTCTGAAGGGAGCAAGCAGTGAATGCGCCCTTGTCCATAGGACTTCACACAGTTTTAGCCTTCAGATGGAAATTCTATGTGGAACCCATAGGTAGCATTGTCCATCATTACAGATGGAGTTACGGAGATTCCTGCCTTGGTTTTAGTCTTTCCTCTAATGAAGAACACCTCAGTGAAACTGCATGTGCTGTTTGCCTATGTAAAAGCAGTGTAAAGGTTTGACTTATTGAAGATCAGTACTTCAGGTAACTTCTAGTTGGGTTATTTGAAGGCAGGTTTGGGTTTTTTTCCCCAAAGAAACCAGCTGTGATCTGAGGAGGCAGGATGTGGTAAGTCGTACACTCTTGGTAAGCAGTATGCTTGAAGCCATTTGTCTTCATTTAAACTCCAGTGGTAGTGGTGAGGCTTTGAAGACTCTTCTAATTTCCTTTCTGACAGCATCCTGTGGTATGTGCTGCTGCAGCTGCTGCATCTATTCCGCTGGATGACTGTAACTTATAGCTGGAAGCTGAACTGTGGCTAAACATGAGGAAAGGATTGGTGCTTGCAGAGATCCTTTTTTTTTTTTATCAAGGTGGTAGCCGTAATCAGTCACAGCTGTAGAACTTGGCTGTTGTAGCTGGAGAAATTGCTTTCCTGTTAGCCCTATGGGGTAAGACTTCAGGCTTTACCTGGGATAAGCTTTGATTTGAAAAGCGCTGTATAGGAGCAGAATCACCAAAACTTTCCAATGCGTGTGCTTAACCTAGGATGAGAAACCATGCAACAATGTTGACGTCTGAATCTCTCCTAAAAGAGCTGCAAATTCTTATTATAGGTTGTATTTGACAGCTCTCCTCAAAAAAAAAAAGCTGCTAGCAAAATCCATCTGCAAAGGACTTCTGTGAAAGAAGACAAAAAGCCAAGTCAAGCACTGCTTAGTGTGGGATATGGCTACTGACCTGAACTGGTCGTAAAGTAAATGACTGGGGTGAAGTTAGCTGCTTTTTCTTATGCTAGAAGAGCAGTGTCTTTTCCATTTGGCATTGTAGTTGCTGTTCAAAGCCTTCTGCAGTGAGCTGTATGTGACTTGAGCAGAACCATCTGTACTTCTTGTGCAGCCTCGTTTACACTGACTGCACTACCCTGATGGATATTTACTTTGAATTGTGAGAATGAATCCAATGACTACTTTAACTCTACCAGCAATTGCAGAGGATGAGCTTGTACAGTCCCCATCACTGCTGGGAATCTGTGCACGGCTGGCATGCTGCACATTGTGCCTGGCAAGACCCACCTGTAGTGCATATCTCCCAGTGCAAAGATACTGGGCTGATAAAAGATAGATAGTGCTACTAGCCTCATGCAGATTCTTTGAAAAGCTTTATAGTTGAGTGATCAAATTCAAGATGCACTGAGGGCCAATTTACAAGGTTACAAGCATCAGTTGGCAGCTTTTGTAGCTTTTATTGAAGTGGTATCTACTTCTACAGGAATCTATTTTGGGTCTCTTTGGGAATTACACTTGCAAAAACTGAGTGAAACTGTACAATGAGCTACTGTGTTGTGCTGTCCGTAAGAAGCCTCCCTCATGGATGAGGGAAGAGAACAGGGAGAAAGAGAAAAGAGTGTACTGCTGCTCTTGTCTTGCTAAACAAGCCTAGATAGTTCTTACTTTTATAGGAAGTTTGGTTTTTTTGAGGAGTGCATAGGGGGAATAGGGAGTTGTGGATACAACACATAAGAGCTGGCATGGGGAAGAAGGTCCAGCTGTGTGAGTAGGTAGTGTCAGAGTGCAAAGGAGGCAAGGTTTCTGTCACATTCTAGTGGATTATGGGTTTAAGTAGTAAATCCAAGCCCCAAGCTGCCTAGTTCTCTGTGAACAGGGGAAAACATGAAAGAATAGGCTCTCTGCTTCATATGGTCTCAAGCAGTAAAGGGAATAATTGCATGAAGCCCGAAAAAAAAAACAAGATGGGGAGGGAGTTGCTAATTTCTCAGGATCCAAGGTGGTGTCAGCAGCTCTCAAGCTTCTTCTGGGTACGCTGCTCTGTGTAGCAGGGGCCATAGCTCCTTAATTGGAAGCATGTCCCCTGGGACTGCTATTCTCCTAAACAAATAAATCATTCATGCTTTCCTGTTGAGAACTGATGTAACTATCTTTTTCAAGGCATTGGCTTAGTCTGTCCTTTGCAGAGTGGCCAGGTGACTGCCCCACCACCACCACGTGGGCAACAGTATGTCTCCTATTAAACCACTTGCAGCTCTGCTTGTACCAACAAAACTGATAACTAAGCCTTTAACCCCTTTCAGCTAGTAGCTGTGTTTTCCCCATGTCTTTTTTGAGGGCCAGTAAGCCAGGAAAAGAAAGACAGTCTGCTTTGTCATCTAGTTTTAATATGCCCTTGGTAAACAAATGTAACTGGTAGAGTTCCCCCTCATATTGAAAGGGATTTACTATTCAGTGGAGCTGGGTTGGCCAATTATGACAGGTCCTTTTAAAACTGTCCTAGCTTTACCTGACTCTGCTTGAGAGGCAAAATCCCCCTATACCGTGCTCTTTCACTTAACTGAGAAAAGCAGTTCTGTGTAAAATCATCCCAACCATCAAGTCTTGGGGCTTTTGGTCTTCTAGAACTTGCTATCAATCCTGTCACTTCTGCCACTGGCTTGTACAGTCAGGCGCTTACGCAAATTCATGTGGCTCAACCCAGCAGGCTTCAGTGTTTCAATTAAAACAGATTTACAACATTTTACAGGTTTTGAAGGTCAGTTTGGTTGGCTAGCAACATGCTGTCCCAGTCTCACTGAGGCACAAGGCCTCTGTGTATTTGGTGAGCAGCATTTGTGCATGTAATGTTTCAATATAGAGGAATGTCTGGATTTTGGCTTCTGCTGCTATCAGTGCTGATTTCTCAGCTTTGAGAGCATATCAGTCTCTCTTCTTGTGTAAGGCTGCAAAGATCAGTGCTGCCAGTTCAGTCACAGCAAAAACAATTTCATATTTGATACTATATTTGGTAGCAAGGGGGAGATTTGTTATGGAGTGCTTGTGTGTTCTCAAAGGCTTGTTAT